ATTAGCAACATGCATCTTTGGAAAGTTTGTTCTTGATTTAGTTAAATCAAGGCACGGAATATAGCTTACCATCCTATTTGAAGCATTGGAAGGCCCAAATAAATTTGTCCCTGATTCAGGAAAAGTATTTAAGCATGTGCTAAAGTGCTTTCCTGTTTCAGGGCCTATATTAGTACATGCGATTAAATAAATGAATGCTTGGACTCCTGTCTCTTAAAAGCAGATTACTAGATGTACTTTGTGTAAATACATTATTCACTATAAAATGCTACATTTCTTCTATATATCAGACATGATGTATCAAACATTTTCAAGTGTAAGCTTCTCGAGCTGAATAAGGTTTTAAAAAGTTTTTTCTATTACTAGTGGATATACCACACAGTTATATACAAATATTCATTTTTCATCCTTTCATATAATATATCCATCTTAACTTGAAGACAAGCACTGTACACAGAAAATGAGTATTCATGGAAGGGTGGATGAACTTCAGTGTGCCAAGAACTTCTCCCCCCGCCCCTCCCCATTGTGTGTGAATCTGTAGGGTATATTTAAAGCAAAAATTTACCTTTGCACACGAACAATAGTGCCATCTGGAAAAATGCTTTCCTCTCTCCCATCCGTAAATAAATTCTTAATAGTTTGGTCAGGAAACGTAATTTCTTTCTTTCCATCAGGGTAATGCTTTTCTGTAACAATGTGTATATTTTGTTTCAAAATAACTATAGAAAGTTTATATATAAAAACTAAAATATACAGATAAAAGGTTCATAGTTTTTACCTATTTGCCCATTTGAGAAATGCAAGACCTCTAACCCATCAGGGTATGTAGTATGAGTTGTCTGGGCATCTGCATAATAGTAAATCTGTAGAGAAGAATAGATCATAAGGGTCTTCAGAAAATCCGGCCATATAAACTGTTGGAAAAAATTTGGATACATACCACTCTTTGATCAGGCATAACTTGTTTCACATCCCCATTAAAGAAGGTTACAGTTATGGTCTTTCCATCCGAACTCATTTCTTTCCGTGTTCCATTAGGGAAAAATATAAGATGACAGCCATTTTTTAAAACCTTTTCAACCTAAAAGGTAAATTACATAAAAGTGGATGTTCAGCAATAAAACTGGTAAAGTTTTCAACAACAATTTCAGTTAAAATTAAATTTGGCCATTTTAGCAGTTTGACAGTTCTAGCTATTGACAGGTAAACCAGCATTAGATGAAGAATATTTATCTGACTTTTGCCCAGAATTTAAGACTGAGCTCTTTGAGAGCCAAAGTTTGTTTGCACTTCTTATCCAATCCTGAATTTCCATAACTTTCCATTGTCTGGTTTGACCCAATAGTAGTAATAAAATGCAGCCAGAGATGCTGTTGTGGAACCAGAAAGCAATACACAGGAATAGCCATTTATGAATTTGTCAGCCACATCCTTGAAACAGGTTTCAAAGTGGTAGCTGTGTTTCTCACACTTTGTCAAACCATTTCTCCAATAACACTGCTCTACAGCCAAAATGCTTCTGAAATAAATGTAGTCAAACTTCACTAATTCTGGGTCACTGAGAACAAAAATGATGCTTAAAATTGTTGATTGGCTCTAGTGTTCAAGATATGCTATTGGGTCAGTATATACGACCCTTGACTTGGG